TTTGAAAACTTAATAAAATTTGTAGTCCGAAAAACATTAATGTCAAGAAAAATATTTTCTTAACTGGAATATTGTCACATAAATTTATTTGGAAATAGTACAAGGTACACATCTGAATACCATAGGAATATTAATGTCATCATTAATCATTAATTAATTATTAATAGTAATAAGTAACATTATAATCACTATTAACATTAATAATAACGACAGAGTAAAGTATGGTAATGCACCTTTTAATGTTTCCATTTTTCTAAAGATAAAATATGTAACTAGTCCAAATTAGCGGTTTAACTATAACTGTAGCACTAATTATCAAAAAATAATCGTAAAAGATAATTAATGGCTAACCTTAATGATGCAAACCGCATCTCTCCATTGCACTAACAACGATGATGATCCACAAGAGAAGAAAAAACTCCAGAATTCTCCCAATCTTCACTATCGGTGTCAATAAACTCGATGCAGCGTCAAATGGTACGTTAACAAATTTATTGGTAGGACTTAATTACCAACATTAATAGTCATGTAAAATGAAGTGGTAATCATGCCAATGTACCAAATATAGCAGATTACCATTAAATGATAATTATTATGAAAAGTAATAAAATGAGATTAGCCCCTAAACTTAATAACAATAATTAATAATGCTAATTAATAATAATTACAATAAAGGCAAAACTGTAATTAAAGGATGCCAAATACTAATCTCAATTTACCACATAATAATTAACCATGACTATTATGATACTTAGAGAGACTAATTAAAGTTAAGGTAATAACCAAATTACCAATTTTACAGACAATATACCAACTATATTGCTTTTGCCATAAATTAAAGACTTAATATTATTATTAAGGCCCTGAAAACTATTGATAGATTAAAAATTTAATCAACTTAAACAATAGTTATATTTTTTAATGGCCAAAATAACAATTAAATCTTTAAATCCTTAATGTCTCAAAACAGGCTAAGACAATAATTATAGCACTTAATCACTCAAATTAGGCTCATAAACCTCAATGACCCAAGTGAATTATAACATGGATGGAAAATGGTCTAATACTGAAGTAGACCCAAAACTTAATATTATTACCAACTATGAATACCAAAATATGGTAGTTAGTAATAATTAAAACTTAATAAACATGTTATAAGGAGTTATAATTATTATTAAAATATTAAAATATCAATCAAAATGGTGGGATCCATACTTTAATGACTCAAGATCGGTCCCAAATATCTTGTTCAAGATAGGTTGTAAAGTCCCAGAAACACATAAAACTAAATGTGCTCAAAATTAACGGGAAACCAAAACAAGCTACCTTAATAGGCTATAATGTCCAAAATTAGCCTAAGGATCCAAAATTGAGTGATAATTAATAATGAATTTATGAATTAATAATATGCTAAATCCAACTTTAATGCATGCTATTATGAATGTATAATTATAACAATAATTTATAAATATACGTAGCATGCTTGGATGTGCAAATTAATACATTATTAACCCATATATACTAAATAAATTGCAATACTTCAGGCAATTAAATATAACCTCAATATTAAATTAAAATTCAAATAGCAAATTTAAATCTTAATATTTGCCAAAAGTTGAATAATAATTTAATTATAAATTTAATGCCAAAAATAAGTAAAAACTAAAGGGCATCAATATTACAAAACAAGCAATTACCATACATTTACCATTTGCCAAAATAATATACAATATTAATTAAGATAATATAAATATGATAATTTGAAACTAAATAATTACCATTACCATAATTAATATGTATAATATTAAATGAAGCAAATAAAATATGGTAAATAAGGGAAAAAATTAGAAAGTGGCATACCAGGAACCCGCACACTGCATCAGTTTTCCATGCCGACCTTTCTTCCTCAGCATAGCCAATCAAACAGTGCCGCCAACAGCAAGGGAACCAGTGCCGCCTGAAGGAGGGAAGAGGACAGTGACAACGCCGGAAACCATCCCGCCTCCGGCATCTCTCCTCGCCGCGACACACCGCCGTTCGCCCCTGTTCGCGACACCTCCGCCGGCCGATGAACACAACAGCAGCACGGAGATGGAGAGCGGCAGCCCGTCGCCGGCGTCGCCTGATGAAGAAGAACAAGCAGCGACGTTGACGGGAAAACCCAGCCTCGCCTCCGTCGTCCCTCCTCTGCGCAGCGCCAACAACCGCCGCCTGCAAGTCCATCTCGCACCGTCGTCATCGTCACCAGAAGAATCGGCGCAACAGTGATGGCTCCTCCGAAGGGAGAACAGCGAAATTTACCGCCGTCACTCCAACCATCTCGTAGTAGCCGCCGGTGTCGATGGTCCCAAATTTACCGGCGAAGCATATTACCGGCTCGCAAACAATTCCAGGCACAAGATGCGAAATATTAATATTAAAATACTCCGTAATTCTTAATGTTGATTGAATCAGTAGCTCAAAACAACTAAAATTAATCCTAACCATCCTAAATTAATTACAAATAGTATATCCAAATTCCAAAATATACATAATCAGTTTGATAATCAGTTTGCTCAATTATATCAAACAATATATTTTTATATGCATATTTTGAATACTAAATGATTGTAATTAAAGGCTAGGTAGATGAACGTATACAGAAACTCAATGTATATGAAAATTTATCATAATATTGTTTGGGCAAAACAATCAAACCAGGCAGAGATTATAAAGGCTCTTGATACCAAATGTTAGATATACAATAGTCTAACTATATGAACCATAGTATACGAGAAACCTGACCTCGTATGATAGCGGAAGCGTAGTCGTGTTGATCTCCAGCCATAGTTGATGTTCCTGTTGTGTTGCCTCTTAACGGTAGACCGTCAGCCATGTTTTGTCTCAGACCTGACTCAGAACCCTAGATGGTGTATTGGTATCTACTGAGCAGTCTGAGTACCGTAACTGAATGTGCTAACATCAATCATCCTGTATCCCATCAATCCAGGATTATATTAGGCACAGAGTCTGGTTGACTAACAACTACTAGTTATTAAGTCCAACCAGACCACTTAATAAGCCTAGTCAACTTGCACCACTTAATTAAGGCCCTAATATATAATATATAATATATATTATTAGGGAAAATCTTACAAGGTATACTAGTGAAAGCTCGATCTTCATCTTCAAGTGAGCATTTCTCTTTGCGACGCCCATGTATGGGGGCACTGTTATTACTGCATCCTTCACTGAACTGCCCCACACGTGCGTCTCCGCGAGCCCAATCGCGTACTACAACACCATGCCACCAGCTCCTCTGCCGTGAAATTCTCGTTCTCGGTACGAAAAGCCGAGACATTCCTCGTCTCCTCTGAAAAAACTGTCATAATTCAAATACAGGGAGTCTAGGGATTTGACGACTTGATCTTAGGGTTTAGCGATGAGTTCTCGAAGATGGGAATAAACCTTGTCCGGGTAGCGCGCGAGGAGACTCGATGCTTCCTCGCCGATTAGCCTTGCCCCCGAATGGAATGCGACTAACGACGAACTTTTGCGCTTCTACATCTCATTGATGGCAATCGAGATTGGCGGTTGCCCCGGTTTCAAGTTGACCACGACGACTTTCATGGATTCAGATCCCAGATCTATGCTGGAAACAACGGCATGACAGCAAATTGAGTTGAGAGCAAGAGCAGGATAAGAATATCCCTACCCGGAAAAGCATTGTGCCTACCGTCGCCGGAACTCCTCCGCAAATGAACGAGTCTGTTACCGGAGATAAAACTGGGATGAAGGTCGGAGAAAGGATAATAAAATGTTGGGGAGTATTTATACATGGGGGCATGGGGCATAGCTGGACGCCTGGACAATGGGTATATGAGCTGAATATTTTAAATGTTGTGTACAAGGGATATTGGGGAGTTTAGAATTTGGATATTGAACCCGTCGACTTGAAGGACAAGAAGATACATATCTATGGAAAATACACTTTTACCCCTTCACTTAATGGTTGTCTAACGCCATATTGACGGAAGGACTAATACTGGAACAAATATGATAGTCAATGGTTTATTTTTGTTCAAATTAAAAGACGAGAACCAATTTTGGAAAATCACAATAGTCGGAGGACCATTGCTGGAATTAACTCTTATCTTTTTTATCTTCTGTGTATCTTCTTTTAGCATTCCTCCTATTTATAGTTGTGTTTCAGATTTGTTTGTTGGAGGGAAACAAATTCAAATCTCTCAGTTGGGAATAAAATATTTGGCCTAGATTTGACAAGTTTGGTTTGTGTCTAATAGCTACTTGCAAGTGGCAACTTGTCCTTAAATTCCAACGTTATGTGACTTTCAAAACTCTTTCTTAAAAAGGCACTTGAATGGTCTAAAATTAAAAAATTTGACCAAATTTAACATGTTCCAATGATTATGTTGACAGTTTGGTTACCTTATTAAACAATTATTTAAAAAAAAAAAAAAAAAAAAAAAAAGAACAACATATCCCCTCCTCGTCTTTGTCTCTGGCCAAAAATAGAAAGTTCTTCGTCTCCCACCAGAGATGAAGAAAATGCTTTGTCTCCCGGCCGAAGGCCAAAAAAACTCTGTCTATGGCCAAAAAGGGAGACGAAGAGGGAGAGGGTGTGGGGGCTTTTTAAAAATGTTTTATTTAAAATTATTAAAATAAATTAAAAAAATAATTTACTTTAATAAGATGAATGTACGTCAGCCATAACCGAAAGAACAAGTCAAATTTAGAGGGTAACCTCAGTCAAGATAGCAAGTGATTTACACTTGTAACCACAAGGTCACGAGTTCGAATCCTTGCCTTCTTGGTTTGAGTCGATCAGCTATGGGTAACCTAGGCTGGTTTACCTCCTTGTGATCCTTTACTGGCTAGGGTCACAAGGCGGAGTTTACTCACACTCGAAAGAAGGGGTTTACCTTCTTATTCAAAAAAGAACAAGTCAAATTTTTTTTTTAGTTCGATATCTAATTATACTTTTACTTTCACTTAGGTGATTAATTTGAACTTCTTTTCAAAATATTATTTAAGTTTTTATAGCCACCTTTGAAAACTTAAGTACCTTATTACTGTATAATTCTTCAAACATACATTTGCAAACTTGTATCCCAACACCTTCTCGAACGAGATAAATTTAAAAACAAAAAACAGATTTCACAAAAAGCCTAGCGGCCTGAGAAAGCATATATAAAATGAAGCGGTGGCATGAGGAGTCGATGAAGCTGTAGTGGCTTATCGACGTCACTGATCGTCGTTGTTGACCTGTTTGGTGGGTTTTTGAATGATCGGAAGATGAGTTGAAAGCATGATCACCACTTCTGACATGTTTGGCCTAAGATTCGGGGGTGATTGGGTGCACACCAATGCAATCTCCAACATTCTCTTCACTTCCTCTGCATTACACTCATTCGGGTCTAAATTTTTATCCACCAGTCCTAGATAGTCCTCATTCTCGTACAGTTTCCATGCCTATGTAAAATTATGCCACAAGTCAAATATATGGTTGAAAACATCAAGATATAGACATTATTGTTGAACAGGAAATTAAATTACCTGTTCAAGCAGATACTCATCAGTTACAGGTTCAACTCGTATGTCACTGCACCTTCGCCCACTAATGATCTCTAGGATGAGTATGCCAAAACTGTAAATGTCAACTTTCTCTGATAAATGACCATGAATTGCATATTCGGGCGCTGTATATCCCCTGTTGTAGCAGCACCAAAAAAGTTGTCATTTAGTCTAGTGAAAATTTGTGGGAATTGAAGAAAAACGTGGAAAAAGATCTAAATAAGGGTGTTAGTATAGGCTTACATAGTCCCTGCAAATTTAGTGGTAAGATGACTCTTACTTTCAGGTAAAAGCCTTGCCAAACCAAAATCAGCTATTTTTGGCTGGAACGCATCATCTAGTAATATATTGCTGGATTTAATGTCTCTGTGTATGATGCATACATGGAACTGGTCATGCAGATAGGCAAGCCCCCTAGCTGTTCCAAATATTATATCAACCCTTTGCTTCCAGTTCAGTATCCCTTGTTTGTCACCTGCCAATCATTAAAAATGGGAAAATAAAGTAAGTTTATATCCCAGCTAGCATTTTGTGTAAGTATACTAAAAGTTTATATCATATCCCAGCAGCTTACCATATATGTATCTGTCAAGGCTGGTATTTGCCATGTATTCATAAACCAGTAGCAGCTCTTCTCCTTTAGCAGAACATCCCAATAGGCGAATGAGATTGCGATGATGGACGTTTGTAATAAGTCGGACTTCAGTATCGAAGTCTGCTTTTGCTGTACTGGAAACCATTGCTAGTTTCTTAACCGCAATCGCATCCCCGTTCTTTAGTGTGCCCTGGATATTCAATTCAGTCATAGAAGAGTAGTGGCTTTATTAATTTCGTTATTCATTCTGAAATTGTTGCCCTGAAGAAAATAGTAAAACGAGTAAAATCACCTTGTATACATCACCAAAACCTCCTTCGCCAAGTTTATTTTCTTCGCTGAAATTTTTGGTTGCAGCTTTCAAATCTTTATATCTGTAGTTCTCCGGACCTCTCAACTGAGTTGCCACCAAAATATCGCCTATAGATCGAAGAAGACAGCCCATAAGTTAACAATTTTAATGAAACTAATAACAGTACTGAAACTTCTATATATATCAATAAGATTATTGGATATGATCACTACCTCTTCTTGTTGCCTTTGACTGTTTTGATTGTTGATGCAAAAGGACAATGGCTGCTAATACCAAAGCGATTCCTACACCACCGGCAACACCCCCAATAATATATTTCTTCTTCCCTGAACTCCCTGGAGAAGATAATATAATGTTACAGGAAGGGCATGCATAATTTAAGAAACATGAAGAGAACAGATTGAATTTTATACCTCCTTGTACTAGGAAGGGTGCTAGGTTAGTGGTCTGGTTAATGGCAAAAAAATGTTTGTCTGAGTATCTCAAGAAGCAGCCAATGTCAACAGCCCTTGCAGCTGCAGATTTTCCCAAACAACCTTGTATGTTACTCTGAGCTAATTCCAAACATGCCTGACAGCCGCTTGGGGTGATTGTTTGAATACACTGCGCCACCGCATAGACGGTGGCACCGCCACCGGAGACCTCCTGCTTCGCTGCAGCGAAAAAGCTAGTAATTCGAGGGGTTGCAACTACAAGGTCGTTTAGTAGTAGTTGTGCTGTAGTATTGAAAGCATCTTGTTTACTCCCAGTTCGTTTCCCACAAATTGGATGGTTCCCTTCATCTGTAATCTTATTGTAGAAGAGATTGGACTCGTATCTGTACAAAACAAACAGCACCAGCCAACTTAAAATAAATTATAAGCTCCTAAATAAGTTCTGTCAAACAGAATCTATAGAGTTAATCCTAAATGGTTCTTTGACTATAGCGAAATTACCAATTTAGTCTTTGACTATTTTCTTCACCAATTAAGTCCTTCAACTTTAAATTTTTTAACCAATTTGGTCCTCCGTTTGTTTGACCGTTAGTCAACCGTTAACTTGGGACCAAATTGGTAATTTCACTATAGCCAAAGGACCATTTTGATAATTAACTTTAGTGGTGGGCAATTCGGTTTAGTTTTCTCAAATCGAACTGTACTGAACCGAACCGAACTAGTTTGGTTCAGTAATATACTGAACAACCAAACGGTATTGAATTCTTGTATACTGAACGGTTCGATAAAAAAATCGATCCGAATTGTTCGATACAAAATTGAACTGAACCAAATAATTCAGTTCGGTTCGAGTTTTTACTGAACCGTTCGGTATACAAGAATCTATTAATGTTCGATTGTTCGGGATATTACCGAATAATTAACTAGTTTGGTACAATTCGGTTCGAGAAAACTGAACCAAATTGTCCACCCTTAAAGTTAATTATCAAAATGGTCCATTAACTATAGCAAATTACTAATTTGGTTCCAAGTTAACGGTTGACTAACGATCAAACAAACGGAGGACTAAATTGATAATTTCGCTATAGTCAAGGAACCATTTCGGTAATTAACTCGAATTAATATATATAACTCACCTGAGGAAGCAGCCATCAAATATGACCCGAGCACCGGTGGCGATGGAGCACATTCGGGATAGGGACACGGCAGCACTGAAACAGGCGAGACAGTCGGCCTTGGAAAGGTAGTTTCTACACTGTATCATTGTATAGACTGGCTGCTGAGTGATGGCAAAGCGTTTGCCGTCGTCGCCGGTGGATAACTGGTTTTCAAGATCGGCAAAGCTGGCGTTGATTTCCCTGAAGAAACGTGGTACATCGCTAACGTTGTACGTGCTGCAACCCATGTCTAGTTGGTTGATTTGTGGGTTGGACAACGCAGGTTCTGATGCTGATGCCACCAGCATCACCACCGCAAACCACCACCACACACCCATATGTGAACACTGTATGTATAGTAGACTGAAGGATCGGAGGGGAATTGAAATACAGAATATAGCAAGGCTGCGCTCATAAAATATAAGTGGCCTGGTTAATATATATAGGATCACCTTTAGCCACTTCTGAGTTGACTTCGTCAACATTATAATCTGCACTATAATATTCTCCACAAATATCTTGCATTGATCTAGCTACTTCAAGGAACATTCTCTCTTCTTCAACATTGTCTTCCAAGTAAAATCTTAAATGATGAGCATGAGGAATTTTTTTTATGCTCAACTTTATCCTCCAATCTTCAAAATTTTCATATTCGCCCACATCGAAGATTATGTTACCATATTTTGTTAGGAAAAAGGAACAAATAAGTCGTTGAATTTTTAGAAGATAGCAATTAAATCACCGAACTCGAATAAGCTCCAAATTGATCTATGAATCTGCAAAAAAAAAAAAAAAATTGAAATTAGCATTTTTAGTAGGTTACTAACAAGTTTGTAATAATTAGGATGCCATGTGTATTTTTTATTTTTTATTTTATTATTATTATTAATATCCTACTAAACATTTGACCAAAAAAATTAATAAAACTAAGCATAAAATTTTTATGGATTTTAACCGTTGATCTAGATTTGATCAACGACTCAAATCTAACCTCATCTTTTACTTGGGAGCGTAAACTAATCTATATATATATATATATATATATATATATATATATATATAAATGATGGCTGCACTCTAAATTTGATTACAACCCACGTTAAGAAGTTCTACTGCCCGTTTAGTTCTCTAAAAATATATGAAGAAGAATGAAATTAGAATTCTATATGAAAAATAAATTTTAAGAAAATGAATTTCATTACTTGGTTGGATGTAAAATGTTTTTTTGAAAGTGGAGAAAAATGGTGGTTGGATGGAAAACATTTTTTATTGGAAAAAGTTTTTCATGAAAAATTAGTATGATAATTTTGTCCTCACCATACTTTATTAATTACTCTTATTATTATTATATTATTATTGTTGTTGTGTATATGATTATATTTGTCATTATACTCATTATTCGTTACCATTCCAAATCCAACCAAACAATAAAATTCATATTCTCAGTAATTTCTTTTCTACCAACCAAACAATGGAATCCATTTTCTTGAAATTTATTTTTCATGGAATTCCAATTTCATTTCTGTTCAAATATTTTTCAATAAAACAAACGAGCTGGTTATAACCAACAATAAATGCACCATATGAACATTTTAATAATCATCCAGCATTAATTATAATGAATGCTACATTTTTTTTTGAAAGAAATCAATGCTACATAAGGATTAGTTGAATTAAAAAAAAAAAAAGGGTGAATCAACGATTTGGTCTCTCACTTATTCGCGACTTGTCAATGTTGCCCCCGAATCACGTATTCATTGATTTAGTCCCCGAAAATACTTGTTTTTCGTCAAATCAGTCCCTATGGCCGTATTCCATCAAGTCTCAGGCGAAAGCTCCGATTTGTCCTGGGCATTTTGGTCTTTTCACGCCTTCTTCTTCATTCCATCGTCGCCGACGTCAGCTTCACCTCCGATGATGAGTTGTTGACCCCAAACGTCACTCTCCGGCGAGTCATCCAGTCGTGGTGCACCCTCCACGCCTCCCACGGCGTCGAGCACTTCCCCACCCCAAAGTCTCCGGTGACCAAGTCTCACATCCTAAAGCTCCTCCGGCAAGCCAAGTCGACGCTGGAAATGCAGTGGTGCTTCTCAAATCAATGCTCGAAACCACAACCTTAAACCCTACGTTATCACAGCTCACGACAAACTTAAACCCCTCCTTTTTCCACCAAGTTGTCCAAATCTTGCGAGACAATTTCTCCCGCAAGGCCTCCAAATCTGCGCTGCACCTACTGGCCAACGTTTGCCAGAGAGGGAGGAACCGGATCAAGGCGGCGGAGGCCGGGGCGGCGACCGTGCTGATCGATCTACTGCTGGACACGAACGAGAAACGATATTGCGAGTGGATTCTGAGCGTACTGGAGCAGCTTTGCCGGTGCGCGGAGGGGCGGGCGGAGCTGCTGAAGCACGCGGTGGGGCTGGCGGTGGTGTCGAGAAAAATCCTGAGGGTGTCGCAGGTGGCGAATGAGAGAGGTCTGAGGATCTTGTACTCCATCGCCAAGTTCTCTGCTTCTCCCAGTGTGGTGCAAGAGATGTTGCAGCTGGGAATGGGGGCGAAGCTGTGTTTGGTTATACAAGTGGATTGTGGGGTTGGGAAGAACAAGGAGAGAGCTGCTGAGATTCTCAAATTGCATGCTAAGGAATGGAAAAAAAAATATTTTTATGCTTGTAAAGAATTACTCCGTATTCAGCTTCTCTGCTATGTTGAGTGACAATGATAACTTCATGCAACACCTACAATGTATGCATTCCATGAATCCTGTTGTTGGAAGCTAGTGACATCTTCATATTTTATGTCTTGTCCTGCAGAAAATTCATATGTGCTTTTGATATCTTCACTGTCTGGCATTTGTCGCATCCAAAAGTAGACACAGCGAAATCCCGCCTCTTCCAAGCAGTCTTTAATTTCAGGCAATGACCATCTGGGTATTTTTAAAAAACATGGTTTTTTGTTTTCAAGTGAAATAGCCATGAAGCAGAGACTGAAAATCAATCTTCTAATGAAAGAAAAGCATACCGTGAAATTAGGAAATTTCCTCTGCAACCGCAGCTCACACTCTGATGATGTGCCTCCATAAAAATCCATCACAAATATGCCACCTTTCTTGTTCAAGACACTCGACGCATGCACTCGACGAGCAGAGAAGAGATGGAGTTCCCTCCGGCGAGCTTGAGCTTCTCCGACGAAGCTTTGTCGGAGTTAATGAAGAAGAAGGAGTGAAAAGACCAAAATGCCCAGGGCAAATCGGAGCTCTCGCCTAAGACTTGACGGAATACGGCCATAGGGACTGATTTGACGAAAAACAATTATTTTCAGGGACTAAATCGATGAATACGTGATTCAGGGGCAACATTGACAAGTCACGAATAAGTGAGGGACCAAATCGTTGATTCACCCTTAAAAAAATAATAAATAAAGGCACTTAACATTTTTTTTTAACTTGAGTAATTCTAGTCGCGAATTATGCTGTGGAAACGTGTTCACCATGCGCATGGTGAACACAGGGGTAGATTCATAATTTTTATGCTGTATATTCATAATTTTGTTTTTCATTTGTTGTTAATGACGTTTCTCTCTTCACAATCACATTATTTCGTCTTCGCAGTACAGATATTATGAATCTACAGTACATAAATTATGAATTTACAGTATAGAAATTATGAATATACAGTATAGATGCTATGAATCTATAGTATAGAATTATGAATCTATAGCTTAGAAATTATGGATCTATTCCGTGTTCACCATGCGCATGGTGAACATAGTTTCACAGCATAACTATTGAATTCTAGTTTCGCTAAGCTAATTCTAAGTCCACATGACCCAGCCCCTAGAGTCACTGTGATAGTAAATCTCGAGTCACACAAACAGTCTACCAATTAGATCATAGTCTTTATGTACGTATAAAAATTCTAATTCAAACCTTTCAGCATACTTTTAAGTCATGCGACGAACCAACCACGCTTAGTCCAGGCACAATGCACTTAGAACTATTGATTTAATTTCAACATGCGCCTAGTGTTTATATGTTTTTTTTTTTTTTTTTTTTTTTTTTTTTTTTTTTTTTATATGAGAAGTTTGTAATGTAGATATTACCAAGAGCAAATACCAATTTTGGTCACACGAATATTAACAAAATGACAATTTTGGTTCACATGTTTAATTCCTACTTATTTTCATTCACGGCTATTGTTTTACTACCAATTTTCATCTACAACTATTGTTTTAGCGCCAAATTCATCACACCAGTCACCCCTTCGTTTAAGACATGCCGAAATGTAAAATTATGAAGGGTATTTTTATCTTTTTCAAATTAATATCCTAATTTGAGCATGAATAAAGGAATTTAAACGCTAATATCAATCTCAATTCACAGTTCTCCTCTTCAAATTAAGATTGGATGAAGAGGAGAAGTACGAATTGAGATTGATTTTAGGACTTAAATCTTTTTATTCATGGTCAAATTGGGATCTTAAGTTGAAAAAGACTAAAATACCCTTAAAATTTTTAGATTTCAGCATGTCTTAAACGGATAGGTGACCGGCGTGGTGAATTTTGACACTAAAATAATAGTTGTGAATGAAAATTGGTAATAAAATATAATCGTGGATAAAAATTTGTAAGAATTAGACGTATGTACCAAAATTATCATTTTATTAATACTCGTATGACCAAAATTAGGATTTACTCATTACCAACGCAAGGTACATGCATTTACTATGATCGTGTAAAAAATTATTGGAATTCACTGTAATCTACGCTAAATGTTCAACAGTATCTAACGCTTGTTATTTGATTAACTCAACAACTTTAAAATAGAATGCTAAGTAGTAATTACTTAACATCAGTTATTCCAAGAGTTAATTATTTCAGGAATGATTCATTGAAAATTGGTCTTAACTAATTTTTATTTTTGACTTCTAATTTGATCATAATTGATCCATTAACTATATATTATTTTGTTTCAAAATTTGGTCTTTCAATTAAATATTTGATTAATAAATTCTAAATTTAAGGGTAAGAAGGTAAAAATGAGTTAATAGAATCATCTCTTCAAATTTGTATTTTTAAGAGTGTTGAAACAAAGATATAATTGGCACTAATTTGGACAGAAACTTATCACTAGCATGGTCCAAAGTAACTTATGCACCAAAATGTTTTTCACATTCCAGCTAATGGTGAATCTAGTATAAAAGTTTATGAATCTAATTTGTCCATCTCAATAATAAGTCAATTTTTATATTCTTATCACTAAATATAATGCTTAATTACTAAATGATGTTGAACTAGATAACCAGATTTTGAACAAAATCAATAATAGTCAATGAATCATTTATGATCAAAATAAAAATTTATAAATACCAATAGTTAAGAGATATTTTTTTTGAGTTAATTCCACCAGAGGTCCCTTGTCTTTGGTGAAAATTCTAAATTTAGTCCCGGATTATCTTTTTGTCATTTAACATCCTAGACTATTATTTTTTGGACAATTTTAGTCATTCTCATGACTTTTTCTATTTCTAGTAAGGAATTTTTGTTTCTTCATATTTTTATTTTATTATTTTTTCGGTTTCAATCGGTTTTATTGGTTTAGGACTTTACTAAAAATTGGTTGAAAAAATATAATTACTAAAAATAAGAGTCTGAAATATTAAATGGTAAAATGATAATCTGACACTAAATTTAAAATTGTCACCAAAGACAAGTAGCTCTGGTGGAGTTAACTCTTTTTTTAATAAAAAAATAAAAATAAAATTAACTCTTATTCAAACAATCACAAGTGTTGTGTCGATTATAACTAATATAATGATAATAAACATTCTGTAAAATATCATCGTGACTCTTCTAGATCTAACATGAGTTGCATTTTGACTCTATATATATATATTTTTTTCAAATATTCATAAGCATACACATTTATCATTTGTGCAACACAAGTTTTATTGTTCTCATATAGAATCGTAAAGTATAAAATAAAATATGACCAGTTGGGACTTAGCATCATGGAGATCAAATAGAATAGTCAGTACCTAAGTATGATCTCGACTTGCAGATAGAGTGTTTTCTTGAATGAATTTTATACACCAGTTAACCTACATGAAAAATGTCTTGAAGATGTTTATGTGGATATAAGTGTCATTTACTTGTCACATTAACGTTGTCCAGTCTCTAGAAGTAGATAATGAACCGTGTATGAACTCTTTAGTTCTTTAAGGATGTAATATGATAATTAAAAATATATATATATATATATATATATATATAATTATAATTAAATATGATACTAAAATACTCCTTAGTTCAGGAAATATAAATTGAACAGTTGAGCGTGAGAAAAGGTTGTAGACTTGTAGTTTAGTGTTGACGAAGACTAAGGTGCTGACGACTCTAACATTCTAACAATGAGGGTGACTTCGTGGGACATACTTGACCACAGTTATGGCATGTTTCATTTTGGCTACCGTTTGAATACGGGTGCTGAATTATTTAATTATTTTTTTTAATACTATCAACTCTATTACCGTGTACTATCTGTTCAACATAATTTTTTTATCAGTTATAATTTAAAGAGTCAATACTCCACCACCTGAAATTCGATCTTGTGGGTTTTGGTCTTGTGACAAGGAAAGCCATAGAGGTGCCAATTGAGCACAAAGTGCTTGACTAATTAGTTAATTTTTTTTGGTAATAAGAGAACTTCGTGGTCATTATTTGAAGTTGTTAAGTAAGTAATTTTTTTTTTTATGACAAGAGAAATTTCGATTACTATTAGAGAGTTTGAATATAATAAATCCCGCTATTATATAATAGTCTGTATTTGTGGTTCACTTACACCAAGTTATTACTTCCCTATGTGGAAGATTGTAAATTTGAGCCTCAGTGAAGATGGACTATTGGCTCTTTGTGTTTCCTGTGACATGTTTCATTTTGGCTATGGTTTGAATGCGGTGTTGAATTTAGTCATGCAATTAGCTTATTTTAATAAATTTATTTGTTTCTTTCGAATTTTTCAACATAAAACTTTCTTAATGAGTAGATTATTGGTGTGAGTAACTGTGTGATGAAAATAGGTCTTATAAATTAAAGTTTTAGATCACATTTTTCTCCACCTACCCATTGATCCACTTTTGTTTTCTTCCTCCTCTTCAACGTAACAAACCCAAGTCAAGAAGCTTAGCTTGTCGACAAAGAAGTCATTGTTGGAAATGCCGTTTCAGTGCTGCTAATGTTATGATGAAAGCTTTTCACTGAACCAAATTCTAAGCACTCCATTATTATAAGAAACGACTTTGAATGAGTCATGCTACATGTTTTGCATTAAATTTGTGATAGTTCTTACAATATTTTTGTAAGGGGGTGCATTATTTAGATAACAATATAATGAACTGATTAATTGAATTCATGAATTTATTTTCTTAATTGATCCGTGACCAATTTAGTTCATTTCATTATCAGTTGTAGCATTTTAGAAAATTTAAATGTTGTTAATTTCGTTAGATAAATCGATCCGATTTCATTTAAAAATTTAAGTTTTATTAACGGAGAATAAGTGAACGATAAAGATCAAAGGCACTGAGCCACTTAATCACACATGTGTCTATAAGCCATTTGGTTAATAACCAAATTAAATTAACTTAGCCGATTTAATCGAATTCGCAAAATGCAATAACCATTAATTAACGAACCAAACATCAATTCTTATTTCTGAAT